TACCTTCATAGCTTTGTGAAATCTAATAGTCTGATTTTCTATCATTTAAAATGTACTAAAAATGTATGTGAACCTTATTTGCAGTTTTTGTTAAAGTATCACAATTGCTTATAGGCTAATTAAAACCTTTTTAAGTGTATTGACCTATAGTTTCAGTAGAGACTGAAGCCATTTTAAGGTTTGAATTGAATGTTAGTAACAGAAAAGATGTAAAGTGAGAATTTAGTGATGAACTAACTATTTCTGAAATATACTTTGTAAAATATAGGAATAAATACAGTGGCATTAATTTAACAAGTTAAGCTTTACAGTGCTTTATAACTAAGCACAAAAAAACTGACAAATTATGAAAGAAGGTACATTTGAAAATTTTGTACACTGTAAGGCTATACTGTATTATTTTTGGAAATATAACACCCCCCAAAATAGACAAGTTGACACACTCAGACTTTTATCTCACAAGTTACCCATTCCTCTCTTACATCCCCAGTTGTTTTGTACCATCAGAATTTTGCACCACTGGCCACATGAAGTACTAACATTGTCAGGCTAGAGGCCATTAGTATACTATTTCTTTGGAAGAATTTACACAATGTTCTTTTATAAGAAAATGATTCACATGGCTAATGTTCTTTCAGGTAAGTTCAGCTGTCCCAGTGTATCTGTATACAAGTTGTATACTACTCGTATTAGGACCTTTGTTTATGAAGGAAGTGTTTATTTTGGCCACAGTTTGAGGGTACAGTCTGTCAGCCCAGAGAAGTCACAGCAGCAGAGTCTTGAGGCAGCTGGTCACATTGCACTTACGGTCAGGAAGTAGACAGCAATAAATTTTTAATTTTTTTTAAGTTCTCATATTTTTTCCTAAAGTGAGCTTATTTTTATTCAAAGATGTGTCTAAGAAGTTGGTAAGATTTATGCAAGGTGACAGCCATGAAAAATAGGGAGACTGTGGAAATGAAGTGGATAAAGCAGGATGACTTGTGTCAGATTAAATAGGGATGTTAAAACAGCAGAAAATTATAATAAATAAAAAAGTGAGTTCTGAGTCTTTACATTTTAATCCTATATTGTGTGGGTAAGGGAAAATATAAAGAAAGCATTTCTAAGACATTCGTGGCAGAAGATTTGTGTCTGGCATATGCAAGGTCCTGGTTTCTGTCCCCAGTTGTGAGAGAGAAGGATGGGGAGAGAGAGAAAAGGCACTTATGTCTTTTGTTTATCACTAACCTGTCACTGTAGGAAGCATTCATAGATGTCACATGTACCTCAGAGGTGATTTCAGTTGGAAATCTGATGTAGGAAACCAGACTGACGACCCATGTTTTTCTTCTGCTACACAAGAGACTTGTTGATTTCTTTCTTTGGTTTGGATTTGATATACAGCAGGTACCACAAGACTCAGGGGCTTGAGTTCCTTCGACTCTGCAGAGTGGTATTCTTATCTTAGGAATATATAGGCTCCTGGCTTTTGAGGATCTTCAGAAGTCTTAAGTGACTGCCGGACCACTTCATCTTTCCAGTTCATTTTGGAAACATCTGTTTATGGCAGAATCCCTATCACCACCGAATGAAGTTACTTTTATTGAAATTCATCATCTGTCTACTGGCCTCTTCCTCCTCTTTTGTTTGTTCTCTATACATTTCTTATTTTTAGTATGAAGTGAATTCCTACCCTTTGAAGACTGACTTTTCCTGTATTTTTGTATTCATAGGCAGTTTATGTTATATTTATATTCTAAAATGTGTACTTTCATTTATTATCTTTGAGGCTTGTTCTTGCCATCAAACTCCTGGGCTCAAGTCAAGTTTCTGACTCCCAAGTAGCTGGGCTTAACAAGTATGTGCCACTGCACCCATCTAGTATGTAACATTTTAAAACTTGAAGCTCTCAGACTTAAAAGCTTTTTGTAGGTGTCTTATGTAGAGCCAGTGATATTAGAAGTTAATTATATGGTAGTTTTAAAATACAAGCATGGCCTAATATAATTAAGATGGCATTGTTAAGTGTATTACTTAACGATGGGTCAAGGATGAGTGCTTATAATTCCATGTTTGTGGGGATGATAGGGAGATACACTAATGACTTTGGTGTCTTATACTGTCTTTGTCATTCCTAAAGTAAAAATCACTCATCCTAAATTATATGAACATATATAATCTTCTATTGATCCCACTTCAAACATTCAACAGAGTTCTGTTTATAAATTAATATGAGAGGATATTGTCCTACGTGCTCTTTGTATGTTGTCTGTGAAGAAAGCATTATTAACTCTCAATTATCTCCATTTTATAATAAAGAAACTCAACAAGTTAGAGAAGCTGCCTGGGATCACATGGTCATTAAGTGACTAAGTCAGGTTCCCAGCTCAGGATTATCTGACCGGACCTCAGAGCACATGTTGCAGTCATTGCATCAAACTGATTATTGCTATTTTTTTTTTTTAAGTATTGAATGCACTTGGTATCCGAACTAACTCCTAACTTTACTGATAACCAACGTGCTAAACAGTTTTGTTTTCTTTTTGAGATTCTGCCTGCATCTCTCAATCTAGAAAGCATATTGTATTGCAGAAATAACCTCGACCCTACCACCATATAAATATTCTTCACACAGAAGTTGATAAATGTTTTTGTTTTAGTTACTATTAGTAACAAATCACTTGAGACACACCTTCCTATAATACCAGTGAAGACACTAGTGTGGTGAAATGCCAAGGTTGAAGACTGTAAGATTAAGAAACTGTTCCCAGACATGCTCCCCCCACTTAATGTGTTGTGATAAATCACTCAGTAACTGGTCTAGCTAGAAAGTTACAAGATTTAAGGTTGAATAAGTAGAACTGAAGGTTGAATAAGTAGAACGGAGTTTTTCAAAACTAAGCAAAAATGCCTTAAAAGTAAAGCATGCAGTCACTTATTACAGTAAGAGGAAAGTTTAGGTTTATATACAGCCTACAGATGCTATAAAAACATATTTAGTTTTCTGTTCTTAGGAAGTTAGGATCTTGGGCAATCTTTTGTTGTTGTTGTTGTTGTTTTTTGAGACAGGGTTTCTCAGTGAAATAGTCCTAGTTGAACTAGCTCTGTAGACCAGGCTGGCCTCAAACTCACAGAGATCTGCCTGCTTCTGCCTCCCTAGAGCTGGGATTAAAGGCATGTGCCACCACCACCCAGCAGGGAAATCTTAAGAATGAATTTTAGCTGGGCAGTGGTGCTGTACATCTTTAATCCCAACACACGGGAGACAGAGGCAGGTGGATCTCTGTGAGTTTGAGGCCACCCTGGTCTACCAAGTGAGTTCCAGGACAGCCAGGGCTGTTTCACAGAGAAACCCTGTCTCAAAAACAAACAAAAGACTTTTAAAAATATTTCAGTTATTAAAATGGTTTAGCAGAGTATAAAGGGATAATCATAAGCAGTATCAAGGAATATCCTCAAGTAGGAATAGCTTCAATTCCTGTATGCTAATTATGAATCTGTGTAGTAAGCCAGATATAGTGACACAGGTATATTCAGTTCTTCAGAGGCTGAAGCAGAAGGTTGCAGGTTCAAGGCCAACATGAGGTAGAATAGCAAAGTCCTGTCTCTAAATTAAAATGTGTTTTAAATCTTGTATTTCTTTAAATGCTTAGGGTTACACTAAGGACATTAGTGGTATAGCCTTCAACAGTCTTTAGATCTGGGTACTCAATCTTAATGGCGTTCTAGGGATTCCTCCAGAGGTGATTTCAAAGTAGAGAAAGGCACAAGTTCATGCTTAGTCACCAGATACTATTCCTTAGAAGTCTATCCTCAGGAAATGTTTGCAGTTCTCAAAATAGATTTGGAGCAAACGCTTTTCCCCAGAAGTGCAAGGTTGATAAATTTAGTCATATTTATTATATTTTGGCCACTTTGTATATGTTGCCAAGTTCCACATTGATAACAGTGGAAAGATTCAAGAAAATGAGTTTTGGGTTGCTAAAGCATTGAGCAAAAAAAAACTTAATGGATATATTTAAGGGTAGAGGAATCTCAGGATTCAGAAAGTTCTTCAGCAAGCATTCAAAATCTGTCTTCAAATCATTTTGTCACAGATGTCACTTAACCTATGGTAAAGTATTTTTATTCCAGTAGCAGAGTAGATAGAGTTGCTGAAAATGAGCTGTGTGTTTACCACTGACTTATATCCTGTCTATCTTGTATTGTATTCGTGAAAATTAACCTCTAAATGGTCTGTGATGCCAGTTGTATATAACAGATACTCCACTTACTGTGATACTGAACATGTAACAGATTTTTATCACACATCTTAATTTTAATTATTCCTGAATTTCATTTTTTGGGGAGGGGATTCTACTTCTCTAACTTTAGGTTTGCCTTAGATGTAATATAATGGTATTTAGTTTATCTTGGTCTTGACTTCAGCTTCTAACTCTTTTACGCTGTCCTTACATGTGTCCCAAATTGATATTCTTAAAGTAGTTCTTTCATCAAATCAAGCACATCTGCTGTTCAGAACTCATTTTTTAATTCAATTAGGATTAAACTTCCTATTTTATTTGGCCTTCCTCTAATTCCTGCTCCCCCCATCTCTCAGTGGAGACTTTAGCTGCATTGGCCCTGGAAACTTCCTTGCTGCCCTTCCTGCTTTGACATGATAATGACTGCCCAGAGTTTCCTGCCTCCTCCTGACTGCCCAGAGTTTCCTGCCTCCTCCTCTACAAAGGTCTTTGTTAGACTGAGATGCATCCTGCTTTACCCTCATTCCCATCTCTCCAACCTTCCATGTCCTGATACCTTAAACTGTGATAAGTGTAAAGGTATGTTATATTTGGCATCCATTGTACCTCCTACTAGCAAATCTTGCTGTATTTGATCATCACAGAATGCCATGTTAATTTAAGGATAGAGAAAGAGAAAAATATAATGTAGTTAAAGGCACAATCTGAAATATTATGTGATGTGAGATCTTAGTTACTAAGTTTTTTTTTTTCTTTTATCCAAATGTTACCAAGGATTTGAAGCATTCATTACCATCTGGACTTGGACTCTCAGAAACTCAAATTACATCTCATGGCTTTGATGGTACCAAAGAGGGGGTTATTGAAGCAGGAGCGTCCCAAGGTAAGAACCCACATACTGTAAAGATGACTGACGTGGAGGAGGGGAGCTTCACTAAGTGCCACTTGTATTAAAGAAGAGAAGAGTTGAGCTCTTTAATTCTGTGATGAAAAGTGATCTTTTCTTCAATTAAAATAATTTTAAGAATCGCTTCACCAGTCTGTTTATGAATATATCAGTATGTATAATTTTACTGCTTACCATTCCAGGATACAGCCCATGCTTCAGACACTAGGCACATGCCCTACCACTCATGCACACCTCTTATTTCAGGTTACTACTTAAGGAACACTTTTTAATAATAATTTTTAAATATTGTGAAATCAAGCCGTAAAGTTATTTTGAGGTTAACTTAGATAATTTTAGGTTGTAATCACAAAAATTGTAACTATTGATTTATATAAGTAGGGATTACAGATTTCAAAAGGAATAAGGAAGTGGAGCTTTTATTTTCCTGTGCCTGCCACATAGGAGACCTCCAAGATCACCTCATCGATTAGTCTCAGCCGGTACTCACTCTATGGCATGTTACAGAGACAACTGCAAGCAGTCAGTAAGACAACATCTTCACAGCTCTTCTAGTGCCATGCACAGGGACTGGTTAGCTCTTTCATGTTGAGTTGTGGCAACATACCGAAAGTGTGGCTACTGGGGGAAGCTCATTGAGCACTTAGTGTACAGTATGCCTGTTAGGACTCCACACAGACTTCCTATGAGCACCATCAATATTCTAGACTTAACAGAAGTCTGTAGACACTCAACCTTAACCACACTGTTTGTATGAACAGTTTAGGCCCTGGGCCCAAGCCTTCTGGAGGGAAATTTTAAAAGTCAGCTTCCCAGGATCTGGACAAAGGCCAGTCTTATAAACAGCCTTTTTAAGGACAGGCAATTAGACCTGCCACAGCTCTTTGCTGCACACAATCTGAGAAGCAAGTGTATATCCACATGTATATGCAGATATGTATGTCTATATTTAATTCAAAGAGAATGTTTTGTTTATGACTTTGCCTATAACTTTTTCAGTGGGTTTTGAGTGTAATACTTTCATTAATTCTTTGATATTTCATACATGCGTAAAATATAATTTGATCATCTTCTCCCCTTACTCCTTATCCTAAATTGTCCCAGATCCTCTTCACCCTCTCCCAACTTCCCTTTTATAAAAATAAACAGATGGATAAAAACACTTAGTCCAGAATATATAGTTGCCCGTATATACATGGGTGTGGGGCCATCCACTGATGCATGGTCAACCTACTAGGGCCCGTGGTCTTAAGAATTTGGACTGTCCCTTCCCTAGCATCAACTGTTCAAAGCTAGGGATTAGAGCCTGTGAGCCCCTCCCCTACGTGCTGCAATGTTGGCTGGTTAGGTCTTGTGGAGGCAACAACTGCCAGAGTGTATGAATGCATCAATCCTGTCATATCCAGAAGATTCTGTTTACCTTGGGCCCCACCCAACTCTTTCTGTGATGTTCCCTGAGAATTTGTTTTTAATGAGTAGAAGAAAACCACCAAACATTTGGATCTAGATCTGCAATTAAGTAGCTATAGTTAATATTCAGTGTGAATTGTATTAGTATTTTAATGTGTTGTGGTTTGATACACTAGATCACCTTGCCTTGGCAGTACTCAAATTTCTTGCAGATAACATTAATCTGTCTTTTTATTATATTATTGGCCAGCTCTTTATTTGAGGGCTATTTAGATTCTGAATATATTCTTTGCTATATGGGTGTTAGAAAAAGACCTTTTGGGTGATCCAGTATTTCATTCTGAACTGTAAGGTAAGGAGTAAATGATCGGCTAGTGATGCTATTTTTTTCTTCCACTTGTGTTTTAAAAAGTAAAGCTGTACAAAAGAAGCAAATGCAGTAGTGCCCTCCCCACCCCCCACTTGGTTTTTGGTTTTTCCAGACTAGACAGGATTTCTCTCTGTAACCCTGGCTGTCCTATCGCTCTATAGACCAGGCTTACCTCAAACTGAGAGATCTTCCTGCCTCTGCCTCCAAGATATGTCAATATTTTGAAAGCTCTTGAAAGCAAAAATCAAGACATGGTCATAAAAATAGAGTTTGGGGCCATTGAAATGTCTCAGCAGGTAAAGGTACTTGCCACCAAGCCTGACACCCTGAGTTCTGTTTCTGAGACCTACATCTTGGAGTGAGAGTGCTAACTCCTGCAAACTGTCCTCTGACCACCTAATGTACACCATAACTGTCTACCTCTCCACAATCAATAAGCGCGTGTGTGTGTGTGTGTGTGTGTGTGTGTGTGTGTGTGTGTATTTAATCTAAAGTAGAAAATATGGTATTAAGGTTAGGAAGATGGTTTGGTTGGTAAAGTGCTCAATGTGCTAGGTAGAGAATTGAGTTTGATCCCCAGAGCCCGCACTAAAATGCCAGGCATGCCCCAGAGCCAGGAGGAATAGACTCCAACCTTGTCAGTTCAATGAGAAACTCTATCTCAAAATATAAGATGGACAGTATCTAAGAAGGAACAATAACCGAGGAGTCCTGGTTTCCACAGGTGTGCGCGTACTCACACGCACACACATAGACACACAGACATACATGATAGGCAAATGCAATCTCAGCTTCATTCTCAAGAGTAGCATTCTCATGTAGAGTTCTTTGACTTTGAAAGGGTTGACTAAATGCCTAAAATTATGATTGCTTATTGGCCAGCCTTACATAATTTGACATCATTTTTTACTAATCACTACTTATTATTTTATTTATTACATTTTGTAGCACTGGGAGTTGAACTCAGGACATATTAGGCAAGTGCTCTACCATTAGGCTACATCCCAGCCCCAATTTCAAATTTTAAGTGTCAACATGATGTTTTGAGTTACACTGGTAGGCCAAAGAGAGACACTTCAGAGTGTTTTATGGCTTAGCAACAGTAGCAGGTGGAAGAGCTCTGATGAACTCAACTAGTGGGTTTGCAGAAGGCTCTTTATTGTTACCCAAAAGGTACTTTTAGCAAGTCAATTTAAGCATACCAAAACCTCCTCTCCATCTTGGAGTTTGTCCAAGGAACCACCACCTGAGCAACTCTAAGTCTTATGAGACCTCCTGGTTTTTGAGGTATGTCTGGAGACCAAGCCATGCAAAGGCTCTGTGAATCCTTCCAGAAGAGTAACTTAGATAACAATCCCTGACTATTTACAGAAGGTTACTTCAAAGCCTAGCTGCCATCCCTCCGGAACTCATACCAGATACAATGGCTCTGTTCAGTTTCTCACCACAAAAAACAAATGTGTTATTTAGATATTTTAATTATTTTAATGAAATTATTTGTCTAACATTTGATTTAACCTTTCCCCCTGTAACAGGATTTAGAGTAATTGGACTAAAATGCCTATTATAATTTGTAGTATATGACCATTAAAATGCTAACTAGTTTCACTTGTAAATATACTCTAATACTTAGTTAAGTATATTTTATGCTAATGGGATTAATTTATCTCTTTGGACTGGGTTTATAAAGCTTATTTTACCATGAAATGCATTATTGGTCAGCATATTCATAGAAGAATTTTGTGTACTTGCACTAGTTCAGCACTCACTGGAAAGGCACAGTTGTCATAAGGGCATTTGTTTTAAGACATGGGAAGGAATGACATGCTGCTGGAAACTTGGCAAGTAAATCTGAGAGAAAGTAATGAGGAATTAGGTCATTGTTAGCTGTCTGGACAAAAGGCTGAAACATTACTTGGGATACAGACTTTTTATTACTATAAGATAATTAATAATAGACTTTTCCATTTGTTCCTAAAGTTAAAAAATTATCCCTAAATATAACTTAAAGACAACAACAAATATTGAAACCTGGTCAACAACAAAATGCGGCAGAATCAATAACAGCACATACCAAAAGTAAATCCAAGCTCCTAACAAGGATGTATGCTTGGTCCCAAAGATTTCTTTTAATGAGAGTTCTAATTGTTGCATCTGCCTGGATTTCTGTTGAGAGCAAATTGGCTAATTCCTCCAGACTTAGTTAGCAAGATCGTGAAGTTTTGTTTTCTGTTTTTTTTCTTTTGGGAGAGAGGGTCTTACAGGTTAGGTGTAGTTTAGGTTGGCCTAAAATCACAATCCTACCTCAGGCATGTGTTCTGGGTCCTAGGAATAGAGGTGTATACCAACATGTCCAGTTTTAAGACTTTGGATTGTTAAAGAGTTTTTTGTGGGTATTGATGAGCACTTTTGATAGCTAAATTTAGTTGGGAGGGCTAATTTAAACTACACTAGTGTCAAGGCTTACAGTTCTGAAAATATGGAAAAATGGAGGTTACCTTTGAAGGTTAGGCCCCATCGTTTGCCATTTTAGTATGGAAGTTGTATCGTTTGTTACATATATTATACACATGTCATGTTGTGTTGTGACATTGTTTCTTACAGAGATTAATGAACTGTAATAATCAGAACAACAGAGCTCTGTTCTTGAGGTCATCAGACATGTAACTCTAGTCGTTGTTTCCTTGTATTTACTACTTCCTTAGGATGGGAACCCTGTGCCTTGGATAATAGAGATATGGCCTTTGTATACCATGATTTTAGACTGGAATAGCCTATTGAAATGTTTTTCAACTCAGCAAGTAACTTGTAGATAGAGCTTTTGTGTTTAATTTGATAATGGAGATCCTGTGGTGCAGATTGAACTTTCCCCGTACAAACTGTTTAACCTCCTGAGCCTCATTGCTCATAAAATTTATTGTGAGTGTTCAGGCCAATTGATTTCTGTCAGCCAGTCTGGTTTTAAGTTTTGAAAGTCAGTAAATTTAAAAGAGACAGATATCTGTACTTTAAATAATAGCGGTCGTCTATTCAGGTCTGTTTTATGCTTGAATTCAATGTAAGCATTTTTTCATAGTACTACAACCAAAGGCTGTCTTCATTAGGACTTTGTTTATACTGATTCTTTCCTGTCGTGAATGAATTTAGTATAATTTTTTCCAGAAAACTGGACAAGATTGTACTTAAAATAATAGTTCATTATAGGCATTGTAAATAGTCTCAGCTAGAGCTGGAGAGATGGCTCAGTGAGTAAGAGCACTTGCCTTGCAAACATGAGGATCTGAATTTGAATCTCTAGCACCCATGGAAAAGCCCAGACATGGCTTCTTGTGCCTGTAACTCCAGTGCTGGGGAGATGGGGGGGGGAGGGTACATGGAGACAAGACCACTGGGGCTTGCTGGCTGCCAGCATGGCTTCAGGTTCATCGAGAGAATTAAGCTATCTCAAGATGCAAATCTAAGAGTGATGGAGTGGGACACCTGGCGTGCTCCTCCAGTTGCCATGCATGCATGTGTGCACATTTACTATGTTGATACTCAGAGATATGTATGTACAAATTAGTAGAGAAAATCAAATATTCACAGCTACACATTGAAAGAATTTCTCATGTGTTTAATGACTGTTCTCCTTAACTTGATTTAATATGTTGCCTTAGCAATAATGATGGGTAGCATTCCTTTTTTAAAAATGGCATTTGTTGTTTTGTGTGTATATGTATGTGGGTGTGAATGCTGCAGTGGATGCATGCGGAAGTCAGAAGACAGTTTGTGAGAATCAGCTTTCTACTTCTACATGGATTCCAGGGTCCAAACTCAGGGTGTCAGGCTTAGGAGCAAGTGCTTCAACCTGCTGAGCCATCTCATCAGCATGGCAGAGAATATTTTTTTTTATTTTTTTAGAAGACCACAGAGGCTCAGAGATATTAAGTAAGTTGTACGAGTGTTCCTGTTATTATGTGATAGACAGAACCAGAATTTCATACCCAGAATTAGAATTTAAAGCTTGGCTGTGTTTTACCTGAAAATTGTTTTCTTGCTTTGTTCTCAAACTTGACTGTTTGAGACTCTCCCAAGTAGCCTTCAAAGCAACAGGTACATTTGTGCTGAGAAGCAGTGGATCTTTTTTTGGTTTTTCGAGACAGGGTTTCTCTGTGTAGCTTTGGAGCCTATCCTGGCAACTCGCTCTGGCCTCAAACTCACAGATATCTGCCTGCCTCTGCCTCCCAAGTGCTGGGATTAAAGGCATGCGCCACCAAAGCCCGGCGAAGCAGTGGATCTTGAGAGAGTCCTAGGAATGATTCTCACGGACACTCGGGAAACATGGCACCAGCAGTTCTGGAAGTTCCCAGGACCTAGAGTTCACCATGGGCCTTGTGGTACCACAGCTCCTGGTTCAGTAGGCGTGAGCATCTGCATTTCAACAGGCCTCGGGGTGACTGGGTGGCTGAGGGCACCTTGTATTCCCAGCATGAATAGCAGTAGTCTGCACTGCATCACACTTGGTTTATGATTGGGAAAACTTGGCGACAGTTCCTACAAAGGCTGTAATTCTTACAAAAGGGCACGCTTCATTCACATTTTTGTAAAAAGTATTAAAATATGCTTCAGTATTCCTTTCTATACCTAAGCCTTTTCTTCATAGTATATACTGGGAAGTTATGAGATATATATTGAAACTATAAATTATTTAACTCAAGGACTTTCATGTGATTTGGTTTTGAAAACATCAGACTCCAGGGAAACTTGTTTAGATATGATCTTGCCAATTCTTTTACATAGTGAGGTGGTTTGTTTGGTTTTGATAGACTAATGACAGGTTTGTATAGAATTCAGCCCCTAGCATACTATTAGTCCTTTCCTGCAGGAGAACAAGCATATTAATTGTAATCTTAATTGCAGTGTTTGCCCATGTTAAAGGAATTGACACTCAATCTCTGTTCAAAATGTCTGACATATGGAGGAGGAAGTGGATTTTCACAGTTTAATGTCTGCCCTTTCCAGGTCCCTCAGCGCCACCTTTGCCATCTGTTCTGTCTCCCAGCAGGGTTGCAGCTAGTCAACTGGCTCAACAAGGAGGTGATCTAACTGTTCCTGCAGGTATTCACGGCACAGACTGAATGAGCCTCTCCTGCTGATGCCAACCTAACTCAGTTTCATAATTACTCACTCTGTGTTTGTAGGCGTGTGCTCCTCTGGCTGTTACTGTTGCTGCTGCTGCTGCTGCTGCTGCATTCTCTAATGATAAGAGAAGTCATCTTTCTAGCCATCGCCTGTCTTTTCAAAACAAATGGATGCATCTTAAAACCTGAAATTTAATGATTTTTAAATGTGAAAACATAGTAAAATATATTTGGTTTAGTTCATTCTCTCTTTTTTTCTGGCTGGTACAGGCCCACTTATTTGATCCTAACCTCTCAGCTTTGCAGCTCTGCCCTCCTTGCAAACCTAAAGGGAGCTTTGGGAGTCATGTTATTATTGAGAATGGATGGGTCAAGTGAAAAGGTTGTGTATTCTTGTCAGCCTCAGCATACAGATAGTTTGTAGCTTGCAACAAAATACTGAAAAATAGGCTGGATTTAGTAGTGCTTGATTGTAATCTCAGCACTGGGAAGGTGGAGGATGAAGCGTTTAAGGCTAACCTGGACCACATAGGAGAGACTCCCAAAATCAAAACATGAAACGAAAAGAAATGGAAAAACAAACCACACATTTCTTTTTGTATGGCATTAACATTTTATTTACTTATTTTTGCATTGCTCTGATTCTTACATCTATGTTAAAGCTATCCTAAAAGCTAATCTGGCTGTTGGAATAAGGTGGGGGAAGAAAATTTATACTCACCCTGATTTTTGGGGTGTGTGTGAGTACATGCGCATGTGTGGTCCAAAGGTCAACCTTAGTTGCCCTTCACCGGCCCTCTCTGCCTTTACCTTTTGGGGCCAGTGTCTTTCACTAAGCCTGCAGCTTATCAAATCTGTTAGGCTGGCTGACCAATGAACTCCAGGAAGCCCCTCGCCACCATCTGTGCTGGGGTTACCAACCTGCACCACCACACCCAGCTTTTTACATGGGTGCTAGGGATTTGAACATGAGTCCTGGTGCTAGTGTACCAGGCACTTTACAGAATAAGCAATCTGCCCAGACCAGCCAGATTTTTGTTGGTTTTTGTTTTTTAAGATAAGTTTGCCACAGATTTCATTTCTTAAAGTGAGACAAACCACGTGTTTGTTTAATGGACAGAATATTTGTAAGCAATTAGAAAATTATCCTGCATGGTTCTAGAGGCTCTAGTCTTTCACACAGTAGGGACCTTTGTATTTTTTTTATGTTTAAATAGTTCAGTTTGAATAGCATCAGGCTTCATTTTCTCTTTTGTCTTTTGTTATGATCATGCAGGTGGCCAGAGAACACACACAAAAGGTGGACCAGTTATTCTAGCAGATGAAATTAAAAATCCTGCAATGGAAAAGTTAGAGCTTGTTAGAAAATGGAGTCTCAACACATACAAGGTTTGTAATTTTTAAATATTTCCACCCTAACTGTCTCTAAGACTTTCCATTTATAAGTTATGTTATTCCCATTATCATATTTATTATGCTTATACAAACATATGAAAAATAATACTGCCTTCACATGAATATGCAATTTGGAAATAAAATATTTGTTTCATTATTTATCTTTACATATAATTTAAAATTTAGTACAAAGCAATTTTAAGAACACTTACTAAAACATTTAACTCTGACAAATAATACACCTATTTAAAAGAAGACAAAACAAAACAAAACAAAACCCAGTGTTCATGCATGCCTATAATTCTAGCACTTAGGAGGCCAAGGCAGGAGAGTTGTCGAAACTTCCAGGCCAGTCAGGGCTACATAGAGAAATGCTGTCTCAACACAGAAAGACAGACAGACAGACAGACAGACAGACAGACAGACAGACAGACAGACAGACAGACAGACACCACACCCACACACACACACACGCACACACACACACACACACACACACGTTCTTAGAATATCTTTAACTAAAGAACTACTGTAGTGGTACTCACTCCCTCTCCTTTTTTGATAATTCACTTACTTCTTAAGAGACACAGTCTCATTTTGTTGGCCTGTCTGGGCTTCCCTTTCTGGGATCAAGGGATCCTTTGACTTCAGCCTCCTGAGTTATAAGGACTACAGGCTCATGTCCCTGAATGTGACCTTTTCTTGGTATTTTATAACAGACTAGTTCTCCAAAGTTGGAAACTGATTTTGTAATAATTCTTAACTGTACAGGCAGCACCAGATTATAAATTCAGCATGGCTGTTTGCATTATTTCCCTAATGATGTCAGCAAAACAAGCCAATTTTTAAATCTACAGCACATTTGATCCATTACAAATGTCCAAGCCACAAATCCACTTAGTACATGTGAATCTTAATAGGGATCAGACCTACAAGACATGGAATACTTAGATGAAAAATTCCAACAGCTCAGACTATAGCATGAGCTTTGTGTTTTGAGTTGGCTATGGGTCTAGTGGTTGCCAAATCAAAATTGCCTACATTTTTTACACATAGCAGTTTTTCTCTAACATGTTTTCTCAAGACTAAAGCAGGGTGAAGTTATTCTTTCAGTTAATAATTTTAAAATACAACCTGAAACCCTCTTTAAAAAATACAAGCTTTCTTGCAGTATGGGGTGTTTCTTGAACTTGTATATTCTAAGTCAGCACTCTATAACAAGTTTTCTTAATGTTTTTAAGATTTATTTATTTTGTTTTTTGTATGAGTGTTTTGCCTGCATGTAAATATGTGTACCATGTGTGTGCTATGTGCCTATCAGGAGAGGACAGCGTATCTCCTGGAACTGGAGTTCTAGATGGATGGATCCCATGCGGATGCTGGGAACTGAAACTAGGCCCTCTGCAAGAGCAACAAATGTTCTTAACTACTGGACCATCTTTCCAGCCCCCAAAATTTTCTTAATAAGATAACAGTGCTTTGAAATCTACACGAATCTTCCCAGAAGTTTATGTCATCATGTCACCTGAGAAATGCTGGTGGTAGTCTGCAAAAAGTGCTGCCTACATTCGCAGTTCTTCTCACACAGGGCATTCCTTATAAGTCCTTGCCCTTCTGTTCTCAGGGGTAGGGATATATGATTTCTGCCTTTATGTCCTCTCGTAATACAACTGTTGATTAATTGCAAATCTTCATCCCTTCTTGTTGATCTACATATCTAATCAGTCATTAAATCCTGTGGACTCCCTTTGTTTTCTTCTACTTTTTCTGTTCCAGCTTTCACAGTCCTAGTCAGTGTTTATTACTCTTTCACTATTGCTACAACTTACCAACCAGCTCTCTTGGACTGGCGTGGTCACTTTTACTTTAAATTTCCTCGGCAGATCCCCATTATCTGTAGAAATGGCATGACTCTTACCCACCTTACCGACTTACTGCTTTTGTCTGCAGATCCCATCAGTCCCAAATTACCCAGGAATCTTCTGAGGTCAATTGTCTTCTCATGCTTCTGTAACTTCAGGAGGGTGTTTTGCCAGCTGTTTGGAATTCCCCTTCCTTTCATTCGTGTAATTTTCATACCACACTGAGCTTCATTTAAAAAAAAATATTTTCACAAAAAATTTTATTATAGACTAGGAAAAGAAACAAAAATAGGCCAATAAAAATAAATAAATAAGACAGAGTATTAACCTTTATTTGTTAACCTAATATTCAACTACTTCAGATGAAAGTAAGGAAATTAATTTGAGAAGGTGGATTGAAGACCTCAAGTGGAAGTTCCTTCTGGTGTGTGTTTGTTTTAGTCTATCTGTCCATGCTGCCTTCCTTCCTGCCTCTTTGAGACAGGGTCTTGCTGTATTGCCCTGTTTGAAATATTTTTCCTTTCCTTGTTTACCCCCTCATCCCCCATAAAAATCTCAGTTTCAAGCTTTCAGAGGTGACATCTTTCCTAAATATGAAATGCTATTTTAAAGTCATCCTTTAAATTCTGAAGCAGTTTCCATTAGTGTTCTCCCCAGCAAATCCATCACCTCTGTCTTTGAGCCAGTGTCTTTCAACTTTCCGTCACAATTTTTCTTGTTGGCGTTGTCCCATTCCTTCATTGGCTGACCATTTCCCGTTTATTTCCCCTTTAGGCTGGCTTCCTTCTGTGTTTTGTCTTAATGACCTTTGTATCTGTGAATTGGTGAATCTGTGAATTTGTTCTTTTCCTTGTACTTAAATGTTTGTTTGTCACCACAGCAAAGCTCTCTGTGATATTTAAATAATCAGAGTGCTCAGACTGTCTTGTCAGTTCTTGAGCCAGCAGGATGGCGCCTCATGGTATGCAGTGTACTGCATATCGTTTCGTTTCCCCCATTCTCCTCAGTTAGGAGATGCACACAGTTCAGTGTTTTTCTATGCTTTTAAACTTGCCGGCTTTTTAGCAAGTTAGCTTATTTGGAAGCCATTATCTCCTGAATGATTTTCTGGGGGGTGGGGAGGACAAGATCTTGGTAGGTAGCTTGGGACTTGCTATGTAGATAGAAGAGCTGGTCTCAGATTCAGAGATCTGCCTGCCTCTGCCAGATAGCTCTAGGGTTAACGGTGTGCACCACCACTCCCTGACTAAATGATTTCTTTATATGGGAAATTTTGATCCTTTTATTGTTAAATAGTTTCCATTTTCAAAGATTTTTGAGGAAAGGTAGAGAAATCATTCTTTTTATAAACTTGCCATGTAATGTGTTCTAGTCTTCAGTTTTGTATTTTAATTTCAGAATGTTTCAGGGATTATGTCAGAAAGTACCTGAGTCCCCAAATACTGGAGGAATGAGTAACAGCTGTGTATCTTCTTTACAAAACTGTAGGTACCCTCTAGTACTTTCAGTTTTTATTATTTGGATTTTTTTTTTAAATCTACAGTTACCTCATGTAGGCTTTGTAAATACAGCTTCAAAGTTTACTTAATGTGCCCAAACTTATCTCAGTTTGTCTCATAATCAATATCTTACTTTTTTTCTACTGCTGTAGTTGCAGGAAATAAAAAGCATTTCTTCATTTGATCTTGACCCAAGCACCTGCTTGTGAACATTCTTTTTTTTTGGGGGGGGGGGAGGTCACTTGCACAACAGAATATTCATGTTGTGCTAACTACAACCTTAGTCAATGAATTCTGGCTTCTTGACTCTCAACAGATTTCCATATCTGGTTGCAGTGGAAGGCAATATGCTTTGGCTTGCAAATAAAGTGAAAGTCTCTAATAGAGGAACTCTGGGAATGAGTGCCATCTCTTTTGTCTTGTTACAGTTTCAGATACCATATTTTGTCAGTGTTTTTCTCCTTAAAATCAGTGTCTCCAGTTAACCGTTCTATTTTGATTTTCATCTCCTAGAATGGTATTTATTTATTTGGTGTGTGTGTGTGTGAGTGTGTGAATGAGTGTGTTCTTCATGCCATAGTGCATCTGTGGAGGTTAGAGAACAACTTGCTGGAGTTGGTTCTCTCATTCCACCAGGAGTGTCCTAGGAATCAGACTCATCACCAGGCTTGGCAGTAAGCACCTTTACTTGCTGTTAATCCTGTTGCCTCCGGGGATTTTATGTGGCTCTGGCCGTAAGAGAATAAAGAAAAGACAAAAATACAGATACACAGAAAAGCTGGGTTGGGGTGGACTGGGCTCTCTGATGAAGGAACCTCAGCACCTCAGAAGCACATTCGTTATATAGATTAAAAAAGGAGGCTGGGTTATTGCCTACCAATAAGCAAGGAGGCAGGGCTTTATTGAGCTAGATCAAGGACACTGGTTTGTTGTTGTCTTTTACTCTCCTTACTCTTTGGGGAGCCCGACACGAACTCCCAATTTCTTATAAATTCCGGCCTTATGGTCTCAAACTCGCAGAGATCTGCCTGCCTCTGCCTCCCGAGTGGTGGGATTAAAGGTGTGCGCCACCATCTACCTTTTGTCTCTGGGCTTTTTCCTTTTCTTACTTCTGTGTCTTACTTTCACTCTTACTCCACAGGTGGCTGGCCCCTAGTGTCCTCCTCTCCTTGTTTTCTTGCTCCTCCTTTTCTCATTTCTTTTCCTCTTCCCGGATTTCTCCTCCTGCCTGCCAGCCCCGCCTACCCTTTCTCCTGCTTGGCTACTGGCTGTTCAGCTCTTTTTTAGACCATCAGGTGTTTTAGATAGGCAAAGTAACACAGCTTCACAGAGTTAAACAAATGCAGTGTAAAAGAATGCAACTCATCTTTGCATCATTAAAACAAATGTTCTACAGCATAAACAAATGTAACACATCTTAAAAATGATTTCCCACAGCACACTGGTGTAGCTAGCTAATCACAATAGGAACAGTCTTTATAGGGGAGCAGTTTCCAGGCTGTGAACATCAAGGGTGGGAATCCATGTGGACATTTTCTGCACATATATCAAGATCCACACACAGACCAGAGGGCGAGGATTTTTCATCCTCTAAGCCTCCCTCCGGGAGAAAAGGCTTTGCCATTTTCCTTTGGATCTGAGCCTCTGGGGTCCTTGACCTGGCTGTGCACATATTCACTCAGGTCTTCCTCCACTCACCATGTCTTGTAACCTTGGAAGATGTAATAAACAGTGTAAGTTATGGTACTTACTTACTACCACCTTTTGTTGCTGCTGCTGTTGTCTTGGGGTGTTTTATTTGCTTGTTTGTATTATTTTTTATTTTTATTTTTATTAGTTCAAATTAGGAACAAGCTTGTTTCACATATCAATCCCTTCTCCCTCTCCCTCCCCTATCCCCCCACCTCCGACCTACATCCCACCCCATCCACCCTCCACTCCCCAGGCAGGGTAGGACCCTCCACAGAGGCTCTGCAAAGTCCACCACATCATCCTGGGCCAGGCCTAGGCCCTCCCCCATGTGTCCAGGCCAAGAGTGTATCCCTTCATCGGATGGGCTCTCAAAGTCCCTTCTTACACCAGGGAAAAATAATCCACTACCAGGGGCCCCTTAGAGTACGGAGGCCTCCTCATTGACATCCATGTTCAGGGGTCTGGATCAGTCCTGTGCTGGCCTCCCAGACAGCAGTCTGGGGTCGATGTGCTCCCCTTTGTTCAGGCCAGCTGTTTCTGTGGGTTTCACCAGCCTGGTACCAACCCTTTATATATTCATTCCTCCCTCTCTGCAACTAAGTTCCAGAGTTCAGTTCAGCATATATCTGTGGATGACTGCCTCTGCTTCCATCAGCCACTGGATGAGGGCTCTGAGGCTTTGGCACCCGCCACAGGAACTGTATTATTTTTTTAAGATAGGGTCACATGTATGCTTGACTGGCCTTGATCAGAACTCCTGATCTTTTAGCTTTCCGGCGTGCCACCACATCTGTTTTTTTTTTTAATTACTTTTTAAAGATATTTTTTCTATTTTTAATGATGAAGAACACATTAGTACCTTACACAGTTATTTTTTGATGAAATACAATTTTTATTTTTGTAAAAAATTATTACTAGAAAACTTACTTTCTTGTTCTCTGAAGTTGGTTACATTTTTTAAAAGTGTATGTTTATGAGACAGAATAGAATAACAGTTTAATACTATGCTGAACTTGGGGAATTTCTAATCTCTTTTCCCTATCTTCTTCCTGTTCACCCCCCACGGCATGGATTATTTAAGGTGAAGATAGAAAAGTAACCAGTAAGAGAGTAACATCTTGGCAGTCATTGTTTTCTCTATTTACAATCATGCTGTTCTATGAAACTGTCAGGTATCCCTGTTGCTTTAAATACTTTACCAAGCATAATAAACTTGAAATAAGATTATGTGGGTAGTCATTTGGCAATATATAAGCTAGCTAGGTGTATGCCAGAACTTCTTTAGCTTAGTAATAGTTTTTAGACAGGCCTGTAAATATACTTCCTTAGTCCTGGAAAGTGGAATACTATTCAGCTGGCTAACTAGTTCACATGTGTTATAGAACTGGTACAATCAATGTAGTATAGTATTTTTCATTGCTGTATTATTATCTTTTTTTCTTCCTAAACAAAGTCCATCTTTCTACTTTTAGTGTACCCGGCAAATTATATCTGAGAAACTAGGCCGAGGCTCAAGAACTGTGGACCTTGAACTTGAAGCTCAGATTGATATATTAAGAGATAATAAGAAAAAATATGAAAACATTTTGAAACTGGCTCAGACATTGGCGACACAGCTCTTCCAGATGGTGCATACCCAAAAGCAACTTGGAGATGCATTTGCTGACCTGAGTTTGAAGTCTCTAGAACTCCATGTAAGATTATTTAAAATAACTCTTAGGGTTTGTGGGTGTGAGGTTGCTAATAGAAGTTTTTGGAGAGGTAAGTTTTCCATTTGTGATATGCTAAACTGTTAGTAAAATTGTCATTATTGTGTTTGTTTGGGCTGGACATTGAACCCAATGGCAATGTATATTCCCAAACCCTAATGTAAATGGATTTTGAGGCATTCTTAAGATGTCATACAATCTTTAAGAAGACCTAGATGACTCTGTCAATGTAATGGTCTGTTTGCACCTGGAATAGATGTCAGCTGGAGGTTCTAGAGAGTAAGAAGGAAAAAGATTACCAGCCTGCCCAAGCCTACAAAGAATCATAACTATGTATGATTCTTCGTGGTATCTTAGTTAGGGTTTCTATTGCTGTGAAGAGACACCATGACCCCAGCAACTCTTATAAAGGAAAACATTTAATTGTAGTGGCTCATTTACAGTTCAGAGGTTCAGTCCATTATCACCATGGTGGGACATGGTGGCATGTAAGGCAGACATGGTGTTGTTGTACAGGTAGACATGGTACAGCTGAGAGCCCTACATCTTGCAGGCAACAGGAAGTACACTGAGTGTCACATTGAAACTTGAGCAAAAGGGACCTCAAGGCCCACCCTCACAGTGACACACTTCCTCTGCCAAGGCCACACCTACTTCCACAAGGTCATACCTCTTAATAATGCCACTCCCTAGGGTGGGGGTGGGGGAGTGGGGGGGGCACAACTTTCAAACCATCACAGGTGGGGTTAGGCACTTACTATGAAAGCATCTTTCCAGTCTTGAAATACGTTGATCACTTGTTTGAGTGGACTTGTATACATTTACTCAATTAAAATAAATAAATAAATTAGATTTAGCTCTGGGGTGCAACTCAGAAGTTTAGCATTTCCAAGGCAGACATTTAGAATGAAGGTCTTATTTTTAGTGTTTATCTCCACAAATAATTGAGCAGAACATTTTGTTTTGTTTTGTTTTAAGACAAAGTCTCTAGCCCAAGCTAGCTCCCTATACAACCAAGGATGACTTGGGACTTGTGATCCTCTTGCCTCTGCTTTCTGAATGTTGGAATTTACATGTGTGTACTGCCATGCTCTGTTTATATGCTGCTGGAGCTCAGACCCAGGGATGGTGCATGCTTGGCATTCACTGTACTGCTGCATCCCAAGCCCCACAAAATATTCTTGAGAATTTTACTATCTTGTGACTCTTTTGATGTCTGGCTGTGTATCTTGCCTAGAGCAAAAGATAAAAATCCTTAATACTATAGACATCTAACATGAAGAAGTAGAAAAATCACTTGGTCCTAGAAACTTGGGTAAAGAAACAGATATTGATATATTACAATAATAAATACTGAAATTCAATTTTGGATGATCCACTAGACAACAGAATTTGCTTTCTATTGGATGCATGGATTTATTCCTAGGGTCTCTATTCTGTTGCATTAGTCTCTCTTCTTTTTTTTTTCCTCTTAGTTTTTGAGATTGTAATATAATTACATCACTTTGACTTCTCCCTCCAAATTGTCCCATATATCCTTTCTTGATCTCTTTCAAGTTCATGGCCTCAGTTTTCATTAATTGTTGTTGTTGTGTGTGGTGTGTGTGTGTGTGTGTGTGTGTGTGTGTGTGTGTGTGTATTACTAAATACAACCTGCTCTGTCTGTATAATGTTACTTGTATATATGTTTTGGGGGCAGGCCATTTGGTTTTGGATAACTAATTGGGGTGCTTTTTCCTGGGGAAGACTATTCCTCTTTCTCTTGGTATTCTTTAGTTGCCTGTAGTTCTTTGTGTAGGATTAAGGCTGTGTGTACTTTTTCTCCCTTCATCATCCTCGTCCCCACCCCCTCCATATCCTTGTCCACCAATATGTCCCTCATCCCGTGTCTTCTCCATGCCCTCACCCATGCCCATGTCCCCTATTCATCTATGTCTGTGTTAGAATTCCTATTGGTATTGTCTTGTGCTCTGTTATACAGTAAGAAGGGCTCCTTAATTTTTATTAGCTAATATGTTAATGTAAATGTAGTTTCTTTGTTTGTTTTTTTGAGACAAGCTTTCTCTGGGTAGTCCTGCTGGCCTGGATGTAGCTCTGTAAACCAGGCTAGACAGAAATTCACAGAGATCTGACTTCTCTGCCTCCCAAGAGCTGGGATTAAAGGCATGCGTCATCATGCCCGCCTATCAAGAGTATTCCTCTTGTTTGCTGATTTGTTTTTAAATTTTGGATTTTACCTCTTAGTGAATGTCAAAGTACATTCAATGATTATATTTTAACACTTTGTAGAAGTTAAAGTGTTGTATCTCATGACATTTTATATACGCTAACACTCATTTCATTACAGAGATGATATAGTGATGGTAGAATGACTGATTGCCTCCCCATTGATTGACACTTTTCTCTATTTTTGAGAAAGGGTCTTTCCCTATAATAGCTCCAATTGCTTGAATATGAAATACTTCTATTGTTTCAGACACTTGAGTGTTACGATAACAAGTGTGCAATCTTTTTACACGCCCCTACATTTGCAGCCAGTCTACCCAATTCAGAAGACTGAGTCTGGTATAAACTTCATGAACCTGTCTTAAATGGCAAAGGTTTTCTAGCATAATATAATTTTACTCTAATACTTACTGAATTATTAAATAATTTATCATCTGGGAATGTAGTTATAACTGTAATACTACATTAAATTTTCATCTTCTAGTTAACTTTATATTCCTTTTTTTTTATAGCCAAAATTGAAGTGTTTTATAACAGACTGGAGAATTCAAGTTGAATGATACATCTTACAGTAAAATAGGATGACTTTATTTGGTCAGATGTGCTCTTGAGTAATCAATCCAGTTTGACTGGGAAGCTTAGACTGCTGAGCATACGAAGTGTGTTCTTGCCACATATGAAAGAACTGTCTGAAATATAGTTTATTAGAATGAACTGAAGCTGGTGTTGAGTGAATCTCCCTCAGCTGTGTGCCCAGATAGACCTGAGCTTGAAAGGCACCTGGTCCCTAAGTTTACAAAGAAATGTGTCTTGTCTGTATTTATACTTTGAGAAAATTCAATCAAAGCACACAAAAGAATGCAGTCTATTTTATGTCTGAAAGTTTTAACCAATTGTTACCTAATTTGGTCCTGAAAGTTCTAACTTCTCTGATTAATAAGCTGCTGTATTTTACCGAACAGCTGTGCTTATAGTGTAATAGAAACAAAATGTAGAAACAAAAATATTCCTTATAGTTCAAAATAATTTAGCTTTTAAAATTATTTAGATTTAGCTGTGTGTCTGGGCTAATGATAGTTTTGGTTTACTAAGCTTTTAGAAATTATGTAACACTAATTTATATTCTTATAAATTTAAAGTTTAGCAGAAAAAGTAAAACTTCTGTTACTAAATTTCTGAGTCAGATGTTTTCCCCATGGATAATATGTTTACAATTTCAAAGTCATGTCCACTGATTTCTTGGTGGACTAGTGAAGATGTCATCTTTGTTTTAGGAAGAATTTGGCTATAATGCAGATACCCAGAAGCTGCTGGCTAAAAATGGAGAAACTCTTCTTGGGGCCATTAATTTTTTCATTGCTAGTGTGAACACCTTGGTGAATAAAACAATTGAAGATACACTAATGACTGTAAAACAGTATGAAAATGCCAGGTGGGTATCGATTTTCTCTATATTGTCCATTTTACAGATGGTTTGTATTCAGTTAAGGTTTTTGGTTGCAAACAAGAGAAACCTACTGTCCAGTATGGGAAGATAAACAATGTACTAAAAAAAAAAAAATGACTAGATGGTCAAAGGTGTTTGTTACATAAGCCTTGTGTTGGTTCATGAGACCATGTAACGGTGAAGGAGAGAGCCTATCCACCGAATACTGTTCTCTGACTTCCAAAAAAGAATGCATTGGAAGGTTAGAAGTTCTCAGAAATAAAATGGGAGAGCAAGATTTTTAAGATAGGCAAGAGTCAAAGCCAAATTAATGCCTCAGAAGTATCTAATTAGTACATGGGTCAGGTACCCTAGGCACTCAATGCTGCCACTTCTCCAGAAGTAATTTTCAAAAGGCCCTGAGTTCTTGCATGAGAATGTCCACTTGAGCCTTAGTCATATACCTCAACCTTATTTGCTAAGCAATGAGGAAATAGGGAAGTTCTCAATTTTAGCTTTCTGAGTCCTACCAAGTAGACACTCTGGAATCTAGTCTAGTGCATCCCACTGTGAGCAGTCACACTGCTTCCACGGTACCAGTTCCTTATTTTTCATTTATCCAGCTTCAGACTCCATCAAATGCTTTCACGTTAGATCTTTTACATAAATATTTCCTTCAATTTCGTGGTTGTTTACAATACAGATTTTTCCAAATGGACTATTTTATACATATATCCCTGTCATGATATTGTTAAGTGAACAAAATGTATAGTAATACTTTTAAATATCTAAAAAAAAATTCTTTAAAGAGTACCACATTCATAATGACATCTTCAACTTTTGATTTCATACCTAGGTTTTTCCCTGTGTATCCTGACGCTATTATTTATTATCACCCCAATTTTATGGTAGTGTTCTTCAAGTACTAGGAATGCTGACTTCTGTTAGCTTTTCATGGCATGGTTGAAGATGGTGCTAAGTTTTACCTGGTAGGAGTATAATTTGACCTTTTGACCTCCTGCCCTAGCTTAATGACAGTGCTTGTGAGAACTCCAAAGCACCTCACCATTTTGTAGTTGGGTGTTCATCCTTATATATGTATTTTCTATGTTTCACACAGGTCAAAACCCAAATATGTGGAAAACTTAATTTTTGAGCATAAAACTTAATGTATAAAATCAGATGGTGAAAAAAAAAAAAAGAATTGGAGCCATCTACCTGTAGAATATCCTTCACAAACATTGAAACTGTTTATCAGTAAGATATCTTTTAATGGAAGTCCCTTCAACAACATGTTTAGCAATTGATTTTCCAGTCTGTTTAAATCCTTTCAGAATCATTGTATTTTTTTAAAGGATTCATTATACCCATGAATAAAAGTTTCATTTGTCTAACTTCTGTGTTAGTTTTTGCTAAATTATCTATCACAATCATTCACAGTGCATAATCTTCTATCTTTAACCATTTTAAACTGATTTTCAATCTTTTCATTTTTTCTAGTACTTGGGAAAATAACATTTTCTAGTTTCACTTGTCTGCCTCCCAAGAGCTGGGGTTGCAGGCAGGTGGCACCATGCACAACTCAGTGCAGAAAACACTTAACATTTGATTTACGGAGGAGGAAAGTCAGTTCACAGAGCTTGAATGATTTGCTTACCTGTGGTTTCAAATGTCCATTCGGCTTTCTCTCTTTTAATCTAAAACTTTGGCCTGAAAGTGTAGTTCAGAGATCATGCCTCGCCAAGCACTCTCAAGGCTGTCTTCCTAGCACAACAAAACAATAATAATGTCATTTTTAAAAGCGCAAAAATTTTCATGTCTTACAAACAGTTTTTACATATTATAATGAGAACCTGAATCAGATCTCGTTATACACAGTATATTGGCTTATTTGGAACCTTTGGATAGTTACTTAAAAAAAAAAAAACCTTCAGATAGCCTCCTTTGTGTGCTTGACAAACCAATGAAGATCATCCCATAATCATCCTTTTTTATTCAAATTACACTAGCATATTCTTTAAGTTTAGCTTGGGTTTGATTTCTATTTACCAATTAACTGAGGATTCAAACTGAGACGTTGGCTTCTAAGGAATAATATTGAAGAAGAGACCAAACTACAAAGTTTTAAGTAGTAGAGTTTTCTTCTTTGTCAAAACCAGAATTTACTGACTTTTAGGGCAAGGGTCATCCATTTAATCAGCATTAGAAGTGGTAATTAAGACACATGCTGGGTGGTCTGTTAACCCCTGATATGCATTGTGTACAAGTACTTCCTAGCCCGCTGGTAATATCCCATTCAGAATTTCTCCACAGCACAACCAGGAAGGCAGCCAATTGTGATCAAGGCTTTTCAGATATGGACACCTGTTCTCCATACAGTAACTGTATGGAGAGGCTGGCAATCTTGAAGTCAAAGTTGCTTCTGGAAGGCTGGGTGCCCTTCCCTTGGTTGTAGTGAGTGCTCTCAGAAAGGCTGGGAAGTTTTGCTTTGATGCCATCTACAAAATGAGTGTCAAAGTTAAAGAATACAAAGTCAATATTGTAACTTTGCTTATATTTTAGTTAATCATTTACTGATTTTTAAAAAAGTGCTACTGAGATTTGAAGGGTGATTGTCACATCCTACTAGTTTAAGTTTGGTTCTACTTTTTTTGTGTGCTTGCTTTTACCTGTTCCTTTTCTAATACTAAGCATTTTAAAGGTTTTAATTATTGCCCAATATCATATCATATATATGTGTATGAAGTTTTATGTTACTTATTGTTCCCCGTCATAGATGAAAACTGAGAAAACACACACACACACACACACACACACAAAGTCATGAGAACAAGTGAAAGATAGCTTGGCCTCTAAGCCCATGGGTTTAAATTAATTGGTTATTATTACCAAGTTTATCTTACTGCATTGACTTTTTATGTCTGTCTTAATCTCCATTGTCTTCATTCTAGTCTCAAGACTCATTTCTTAATGCCCATAGTCTTGGGGCTGGCCCCTTTTCTTAGTCTACTGTAGTCCATGGCCCTTCCTTAACATTAGAGAGTCAACTTTCTACCCTGAACAATGGAATCAGGTCAAATCATAGTTCTTCGGTGGCTTTTTTCTACTTGTTCTTGCTGACTTATATCTGAACTGTTTATCAGGAACCATGGGCTGCCTACTGTCTTGACTGAATTTCTTCCATTATTGTATACTAATTTTGGATTATAAAACACTGAATTAATTTGCAAATATCTGCCAGTGCCCACACTGTTCCTTTTTGAGACCTTCTACCAATTTCATCAACCTAATAAGCTTTAACCATCCTTCCAATTTTAATTATGTCATGTTTTTGTTCTCAGAAATGCTTTCTCAAATGTCTAGTGAGGCCCCTTGTCTGTAATGATAATTTGCACTGTGCCATTTTGTTGTAATTGGGTAACAACTTCTTGAGAATAAACTCATAAGCTCACCTGAAACACAGGGTGCTGACTTGATAACTGTTGCATCGTTCAATGTATTAGTGAATGAACAAATGATCCTCTCAGGCCCAGAAAGATACAGTTGTTAAATTTAGTACAAGTTAAAAATAAACTGGGCTTGAACTCTGAGCATGGTAGCACATACCTTTAATCCCAGCACTTGGGAGGCAGAGACAGATATCTGACTTCAAGGCCATCCTGGTTTATGGAATGAGTTCCAGGAAAGCCAGGAACTCCTGTCTTGAGAAAAATTACAAACAAACAAAAGCAATCAAACTGGGTTTGGACTGGGTGCCCATGCCTTTAATCCCAGCACTTGGGAGGCAGAGGCTGGGAAGGTCTAATCTCCTACTGGACACCAAAAGCCAATATTCTATTTTAACTCCCTCTTGTATACTTGCTTCCTGTACGTATAATTATCTAGTACATCATACATATATGTATATCATACAGTAATTTATTTTCCTCAAGCAATGTCTCTGTTAGTTCAAGGCCAGCCTGAACTACATAGTAAGTTCCAAGACAGCCAGAGCTATACAGTGAGACTCTGTCTCAAAAACTCAAAAATAAATAAGCAAACTGGGCTTAGTGTGAGGGACTGACATATTCTTTCTCAGGTTAGGTGTACAACATAGTTTATTACTTAAAGTATTCTTCATTCTCTGACTGAGAGATGTGACTCACACCCTGTTGCTATCCGAGGAAAGACTTAGTTGTAGGGCTTAAACTTTGTGATTCTGATTATTTATTTGTTTGTTTATTTATTTATTTATTTTACTGAATTAGAGGTTACTTGCTTCTTTTCAGTTGAGTACTGAATACTTCAGGCAGCTGAGCAAGTCACAACTTACCATAGCAGTATTGTACTTCCATGGGGTTATGACAGGAGTACTATGCAGCAGCTGTGAGGTCATGGAGTGAGGTTGAGGGGGTAGCTATTTTAGAATCATTAAGGCAAAGCATCTCACAGAACCAGGCCAGAGTGCTCTGTAGGAGATGATATTGTCACATTCTAAATGCTACTGTGACAACAACAACAAATAAAATCCATCTAGCATTGTATTAATCGAATGTGCCTGTTAAACACTGAAATGTGGCCAGTGTAAATTAGAATATGATGATATTAAAATACACACAGTGGCTTTCCAAGACTCAGTATCCAGCCCCCAGATGTAAAGTAGCTCATTAGCAATTGTCTGCATTCATTACATGTTGTAACAATGGTATTTTCAGTGTGCTGGGTAAAACAAATTAATATTTATTATTTAAATATAGCTATTAGAACATGTTAAAGTGCATGTATGACATGCATTGGTAACCCTCAGTGTGACTTCTCTTACGAGTTTTGCTAGGGCATTCTAAAGTTGGCTGGTCTCACCAACTTTGCCTCATCAATATTAACCAATTCACATTAAGGATTGATAACTACTTTTGAACTTGGTTTGATGTCTATTGAGGTGACACTTTTTTATATATATTTTTTATATAAGTGGTTGCTAAATGTTGAAAATCTTGTCAGTTAATACTGTATTTGGGGAAAAATAGTTAATGAAACAGCTCCTCCCCTATCTTGATGCGTGTATGTGCATGTATTGTGTATTCACTTACACATGTATGCATGCATGTACTTTGCAGTGCTGGAGAACAAAGCCAGGGTCTCATACTTTCTATAGAAGCACTCGAGTACTGAGGTCCCCAACCGATTTTGTATAGTAATAGCTTTTTATTTTTAGAGAAGTAATGATTTCAAATACATCGAATATAAACTGTGTGTATGTATCTTACTTATTACTATTAATGTGAGACTGGGTGGTGTTTTCTATCCCATCTCCAGACTGTTTCGGTTTTTCTGGTATGCATCATTTATTTTCTTCTTTTCAGAATTGAATATGATGCATATCGCACTGATTTGGAAGAACTGAATCTTGGACCACGTGATGCAAACACTCTGCCAAAAATTGAGCATTCACAGCATCTGTTCCAAATACATAAGGAAAAATATGATAAAATGCGCAGTGATGTATCTGTCAAATTGAAATTTCTTGAAGAAAATAAGGTAAATTTATTATTTGCTTTCTGTGGATTTTTAAATAATCACTTAAAAATCAATAGAAAGTATTTATTTCTGATAACTTTTTGTAAAAGTTGCATGAAGGAATTTTGTTTATAATCTGTTTGACTTCATAGGTACACAGATATAAACTTACCTTTCTATTATAAAAGTCATCAACCATACTGTCTTGTGCTTTCATATATATAACAACTGGGGGTCAAAAAATGCTTGTGTTAAACTTTGATCTTGAGATTGATGTTGGTAGCAAGTACTTTAGTTAAATAATGGAACTTTTACCAGGCTCGGTGGCCCATACCTCTAATCCCAGCATTAGGTAGCAGAGGCTAATCCTGGTTTTGTTGTATGCTTGCTTTCCTTAGGTGCTTGAGATCAAATCCAAGCCCTGAGCATGATGGGTGGGTGGTCTACTACCGAGCTGTGTCTCAGCTTTTCCTCAGTTTTCCTTTGTACGAAAGATCAGTTCCCATGTTTGACATGTCTTGTAAGTTGTATGTAGAAGACCATAGTTGCAAATGAGGGAGTCAGTAACAAGCATAGTACTGCTAGGTGTTGCTTAGTCCTGTGACTGTGGATCTTGCATGGCAGTAGCTCCACTTGATGTGGTACTTGCAGCCTCTGAAGTCATGACTGGCCTTCAGCCATGCTTGATTCCAGGTGCCCTCTTTAAATGATATATCTGTTATTGTAGTGTGTGCCTGAGATGGCTACTTTCCAAAGACAGAAGGTTGCTTTGGCTCACAGTTGTAGAGATTTCAATAATAAGGTAGTGCATTCCAGCAAGAGCTTGTAGCAAACAAAACTGCTCACTCTGTGGCAGCCAGGATGACCCTGCAAGAAGCTAAAGTTATACAATGGAATAAAGATAGCATCTTCAACAAATGGTGCTGGCATAACTGGATGCTGGCATGTAGAAGACTGCAGATAAATCCATGTCTATCGCCATGCACAAAACTTAAGTCAAATTGATCAAAGACCTCAACATAAATCCAGTCACACTCAACTTATTAGAAGAGAAAATAGGAAATACCCTTGAATGAATTGGTACAGGAGACCGCTTCCTGAACATTACACCAGTAGCACAGACACTGAGATCAACAATTAATAAATGGGATCTCTTGAAACTGAGAAGCTTCTATAAGGCACAGGACACAGTTAACAAGACTAAATGACAGCCCACAGATTGGGAAAAGATATTCACCAACCCCACATCTGACAGAGGACTGATCTTCAAAATTTACAAAGAACTCAAGAAGCTCGTCTCCAAAACACCAAATAATCCAGTTAAAAAGTGGGGTATAGAACTAAATAGACAATTCTCAATAGAGGAATCTAAAATGGCTGAAAGACACATAAGAAAGTGTACAACATCCTTAGCCATCAGGGAAATGCAAATCAAAACAACCCTGAGATACCATCTTACACCTATCAGAATGGCCAAAATCAATAACACCAATGATAGTTTATGCTGGAGATGATGTGGAGAAAGGGGAACACTCCTCTACTGCTGGTGGGAGTGCCAACTCGTACAGCCACTTTGGAAATCAGTATGGCAAATCCTCGGGAAAATGGGAATCAGTCTACCACAAGATCCAGCAATTCCACTTTTAGGCATATACCCAAAAGAAGCACATTCATATAAGGACATCTGTTCAATGATGTTCATCGCAGCATTATTTGTAATAGCCAGAAGCTGGAAGCAATCTAGATGTCCCTCAACTGAAGAATGGTACATTTACACAATGGTGTACTACTTGGTGTGAGAAAAAAAAAAAACAATGGAATCTTGAAATTCACAGGCAAATGGATGGAACTAGAAGAAACCATTCTGAACGAGGTAACCCAGTCACAAAAAGACAAACAGGGTATGCACTCACA